CCTACCACATTCGCCTGTTACCACTTATAGATCTGGTAAGAGAAAATGCCCATCATTTCTTCCTTAAGTGCTAATAATTACAAGGCACTGTGGGCATGTTGTAAAAACAGTAAGCATTCAAAAGCGAGATTTTCTTTCCTGGATGGAATAAAGTCTGGACTCTCGTCTTGCAAGGGCTATAATCAGAAAGAAATGTGATTTGATGCAGCAGTCTCATCAAACATGATTTGCATGAAATGGCGTAGAAGACATATCCAGGAAGTGTCAATCACCACCACCTGATACCATGTACCACATCGCAGTCCACACTACCTGTGATGTGCTGTAACTACAGAGTAAACACAAATGCAAATTTCATTTGCTGGGTCAAAGTAATAATGTAATTGCTAAGAAGACGAATTGAAACTTAAAAGTATAGTTCATTTTTAATTTAAGCAAAGAGCACTAAGAAATTATGCAGTAGCCAAATTACCTGACACAAAATATCATCGTTTACCCAACACACAAACGCAAAATCAAAGGACTAAATAGGTTTTAAAATACCCTAGGTCAAGAATCTTTAAAATGTCAACTTACTCGGGAGATACATATATGCTTAAAAACAGCAGCTGCACTGAAAATGAAAACAAATTAGTTTGGCAAAATCTCTAAGCGACACTTTAAAATATTCCAACAATTGACATTTCTGTGTTACCTTTTTAAGTGGGCAAACAACAACAATTGTAACAAAAATTGTATTAAAAACAATACAAAGTATCTTCGAGGACAAACAGATTACTGGAAAATACACTTATGGATAAGAAAAGGACTTATAACTTTACATTAATGACAAAAACATCAGGTATAGCCTTTGTAGAAAGAGAAATCAACTAGACTAACTTGTAAAACATAGAACATTTGGAATTGAAAATAGAATTCAAATAAAAACAAAGAATCTTACTTTCAGAAAGGGAAACAAACCAGCCTTCCACTTCCACTCCCTTATTTGAAGGAAAAAACCAAAAAACCACCAATGTTTTGTGAAACTGCATTCAAAGGTCCTGACGTGAACAGAAATGCTCCCAGCGAGTGGGAGCGGTGGATGCAGGAAGCCAGACAGAAAAACTGGATGGAGTGAGGTGCCAGAGTGGAGGCACATCACTCACGCAGGAACGTGCCCATTAGCTCATGGAAGTACATATTCACAACTCAACTTAAATAATGAGATATGTTTTCCATTTGGAAGATTAATATTCTGACATGAACATGAGTATGAAAAATATTCATTCTCTGATACGCCATCAATGAGATATGTTTTATAACTACAAAAATAGATTCATAATTCTGATTTGAAAAAATAAAATGGTCAATAGGAGTAAAGGCTTGAGTGAGAAGAAATGTTTCAGAGTTCTGCACTAACAGCTGTTACTAAAATTAAGTACATGAACCTAATTTTTAGATGGAAGCCTAAATCACAAAGTGCTTCGTGGAATTCCTTAAATGAGTGACTAGGGGAAAAACCCCATCTGAGTACAAAGAACCAGTGGCTCAAGTGCCAAGAGATAAAGCAATTTTTCCAAAATGATCAAAATTAAGAATCCTTTTCTTAAGACATTTATCATTTTGACATTCAAATCTTTATTTTTAAAATTGTTTATTAAATTCTGTAATATTCATTACCAGGAAATAAAAATATTAGCCTTACTACATCAAGCATAGCCTAGAATACCAAATTTTGGCCCAAGATTTAAATTTTTAAAAATAATTTAAAATAATTTTACATACTATGAAAAACTTTCATGTTAAGTTTCCTTGAGTTCTGTTGATTTTTAACTAAAAAACTAGAGGCATTATCACTTAGCAAAATTTCTAGACATACTAAGTATTTTTAACGTTTTCATAAAATTGTTAAACAAAACTGAATTTTTTCTTAAAAAACTACTTTCTTAAAAGTTTACCACTGTTGGGGAAGACTGAAGAATGTATCATACATCCTTTAAAATTTAGAAAACTAGCGGTATTTCTGTCTATGGTCTGCCTTTGTTTACTCTTTAGTCAATGGGTACAGAGCTCAATTCTGTAATTCTACTATGCAAATTCACATATGTAGTCTTCAAAACAACAAAAGAAGTAAAAAATATAAAAATTAAAATATACACCCCTTCTCTACACTACTCATTCTGTGTAGGCCTCCTAATAAGTGGCAAGATATTAAGCATTAAATTCTTGTGTACATTTATTCGACAACACTATGCTCATGTCTTCTGCGCACAAGGCCAGCTGCCTAAATCTACACCACCAGGCACAAGATGAGTTTATCCATGGACATAACAAGACATCACACAAATACTACAATAAACTTACAGCTCTGACTGATGTGAGGCAGCTACCTATGCACTATGCATGAAGCTATGAACAGAACATACCTATGTTAGGAGCAGTGAGAATTCCTTTAAAGGGTCCTAAGCAGAGGAAAAGGAAGACCACAATGAACCTTGATTTGCTCATTTGCAAATTTCATGAAAACTGGTGCATACATTGCTGAATTCGAATCTACTTTTGTGTACCAAGGAAGTACACTCATTCAAACAGACTCTGTGATGAATGTGAAGTCAGGCTTCCTAACTTGAATTGTGTTTGTGTGCAGTCATTTTATAAAGCCAGATTTAGTTTAGAGAACCCTGACTGAACCCCAACTATAGAAAAGCACCAGGACAGAAAATGAAGGGCATCCAGCCATACATAAGAAATCTCCAAAGGGCTTTGTTAAGCTACCACGATACTGTGTTCCCTACTTTTTAAAAATTTTACTCAAGTGAAAATTAGCTTCAGGACATAAGTGAGACTTCGTTTAATTACGCTGGCTCATTTTACAGTTTAGGAACTAGCACTACGCAGAGCATGTGGCATTAAGGGCATCCTCGTTAGATGTTTACAAAATTAAATTCACATTCATAGCAACCAAGTTTAATCTAGTAGTAGGAAAAAAAAATACTTTTACTCAACAAAGCCCTGGCTTACAAGTAAAATGACAGGAGATAGCCTCCCCAACAAAGCTTTGATGGATCTTTTAAAAATAGAATAACTCTACTGTAATTTTTTAAAAATAGATTCCACATTTTCCCACATTTGATTATTTCCTCTAAGGGAGAATAGTTTACAGAAGGAAGTAGAGCACAGCATTTTCTATACCACAACTTCACTGTAACTCCAGCATTTGGGGCTTAAAGGAAGGTAAGTGTGGAACAGTGGTAAATACTTGACCTGAAGAGAACATTTCTCAAATTGTATCACATACATACTAATTTCTAGCCCAACCACTTCCTATCACCCACACACACTTCCCAACTCAAAAACAAAACATCATGCCTTGCAGAAACTTTTCCAATTCCATATGCCTTGCAATTCAACAATGTTTACCATCCTTAGAGTACCATAACTTAAAAATAAGTTCAATTTCTCACAAAAAATTTTCTTTATTATCCTCCTGTGATATCCTCAAAGTATTTTGAGATTTTCCTTCTAGTATCAGATATAATTATATCTATACAATTGAAAATAAAAGTAAATGAAAATTTCAAGTGACTATTCTAATTT